CTAGCATCCTGAGCAGAGTCACAAATCAAGTGCACGTCTACCTGCAAGCTTTTTACTGAAGACCTTTATCAGGATGTGGAAGTAATTCACCACGTTCTGCTCTAAAAACAGTCAAGAGGAATCCAAGGCTTGATGGGTCAGAAATATGTGTGGTCATAATTCTATGGCTGATGGATGTGATTTTTATAAAATAGTCTTTTAGCATCAGCAACCACAACTTCAATAGTTTGCTTTGTTGTTTTCCTCCTATTTGGCATCAACTCGTATATCTTCAAGTTCTGCATTAGATCTGACGCATGGGAGCTTAAAAATAAAAAAATCTTCAAACATCGCTTCGCTTTTTTTTTTTTAAGCTTTCTTATGTTGTTGATGGTTTTCAAATATCTAATCTCTGTTTCCAGCAAGAAGGCGGCTGATTCCTGCAGCAGCTGCTTATCAGCCAGAGTGCTGAGTGAAGCTGTCTGCATCTGTCCACATCTGTTAACAGCTGCAGACAGAGGAGAGGGGCACGGCGCTCAGACTGCACTCTGCTGGCTTTACGCACAAGAGGAGCTCAAAACAAAGTAGAAATAATTTTTCACTTCCATCGCTTTTATCTTTTTTTTTTTAATCATGTTATATTAAAAAGAAAAGAAAATCAGCAGAAACCGGTACGTTCTGAGGTATTTTGACTCATTTAGTGTGCAGAAGCTTCATATCAGAAGCTAATGCTCTTTAATGTCTTTTAGTTTATGTTGCAAGGTAAAACACTTATCATCCATCACCACTGGCAGAGTACAAGCAAGAGGAGTCATTTTTGGTTAAAATGAGTAATCCTTCGAAGAACAGCCTGCTTGGTACCAGCGCTGTTTAATCTGAGGAGTGTTCTCATTTCCAGCAAGGGAGCTATAAAAAAAGAAGTAGGTTCAGGAGTTCCTGTGAAAAAGAGGTAATGCTCTTGAGAATCTTTTGTTTTTTTCCCTGTTGGATTTTTACCACCCTGGCAACATGAATTGATCATGTTCTCTGGTGGTTGTCAGTAAAGCAGTAATAGAAAAATGTGTATTTTAGCGTGTTCTTTATGCACTTATTCCCCTGAAATCAGCAGATGATGTAGTTTACTCCCACTAAAAGTAAATCCGTCCCAACTGTTGTGCTTTTGTTCTCCACTGTAATAGATGTTGGTAGTTCACAATGACCACCATGTCAGATATATGCATCAAAACCACATACTGTATGATCAGACCATGGTCTATCTGTACTGAGAATATTAAGAAACTGCCTAGAAAACCCAAAAAGGATGCACTGATTGACTTACTTTGTTTTTGTAGGGATGCTTAAAATCTTTTAAAGTGAAGTTTTTATGAGCAATAACTATCTTATCTGCTGTAGGTAGCTTTTTGAATTACCTCACTATGATTAAATATGGTTTATTCTGACTGGATTAAGGAGCTCTCTTCCACCTCTTGCTGCCTCCAGAGCCAAACGGCTCGAGTTGCCCAGTGGTGGCAAACCGTCTTCACAAAACATTGTGTTATCTTGATTTTAGTTTTGATGCATGATATAATTGCACATGAACCTGTATAAATAAGCACAAAATATAATTTTTAAGTGCAACTCCATTACAGTAAATTTGTTGCTTGTTTAGGTTCAGTATTGTTTTCTGATAGAGTATTAATCAAAAAATATTTAAAGGGCAGATATTGAGTTGCAGCTCTGACATCTTAGTGAGAACAGATTATGTGTTTTAGACTAGAGATGTACGATATTGGATTTTTGGCCGATATCCGATATGCCAATATGTTCAAACTTATTTGGCTGATAACCGATATTTGTTTTCTAGACCTACGTACAGAGACTACATAGCTTTCTCTGCTATGCAACTAAAATACATTATTCTGAAGGGTCTTTGTTAATTTGACCTGCTACCAAATGCAGATGCCCAAAAGGGGGCTGAAAATGATGCAACACTTCAACTTGGATTATATTTAATGTCAAACTAATTCATGACATTTACTCTCTCTAACACCATGACAACACTCGAACAGTTCAATTTGTAAAATTTCACAAATCTAAACTCAACCTGTTCACAAGCGACAAGAGAAAAGTGCATAAGTAGTAATGCATTAATAGATATACCAGCACTTGACAGTTTCTTAAATAAAATAAAAAAAACTTAACATAAGCCTTTTATATCCGAGTTATTTTGATGGAATGTCCAATATTTAACTTTATCGTTAATATCGGCCGATACCGATATGCCGATAACATCGTGCATCCCTAGACTTTTTAAATTTACTGTTTTGCTTTAAACCCATGTATTCAACAATTATCACAAGCCCAGCTGAGGACATGAGTTGGTTATTTTCTTTAATTATCATTATATACGGCCCTTGTGTCAGCTTTTCTGCAAAACAAGCAGTAAGTTGATTAATGGTGCACTTTTCTGCAGTCGAATGCAAAATAATTTGAGATGAGCTCTACCTCAGAGAAAACCTGGAATCAAGAGGTGTTTCACCATAAAAACAACAACTAAGCATCTTTTTGTTTCAAAGCTTTCAGCTCAAAACTGTTCATCCTAAGTGAGTGATTCATGTATTTTTTGAAACGGAGTTCGCAGCTGAAAGTGTTAATCTGGTTCAAGCATTTCTGGGAATTTCGTCTTAGAAGCAAACTTACAAACACTCCTTACTGTGGTACCACTGGAGATCCTGAAGGAACAGAAGAGTCGAACGCAAGAACGCTTAGTAATATTTAAATAAAAAGAGAAAAGCTCCTTTGAGCCTTATCTTTAAAACATGCTTTTTAAAGTAATGGAACAGGCTCTCATAAACATTTGCTTTTGCTGTTCCTGCTCAGAAAGAGAAAAGCTGTATGATTATCATTCTGCAGCACATTTATCCTGATCTTGTCCTGCCAAATGAAACTTCCTGATGAACTTTTCCTGCACCCTCCTCTTTTATTTCTCATGTTTAACGCTGACATTACTCCCCATGTCCTTGCCTCCTGTTTCATCTCTGCATGCGCATAAAAAAAAAAAGAGCCAACAACTGCCACATCAACAGTTTCGATGCCACAGTGTCACGGTTACTTGTGCCGGCTAAGCAGCATCACAGGAATGCGATCCTGCCTCCGGCTGCTCAGCCTTGGCCAATATTGGTAATCTTAAACTGAAATGAATCTGAGCAAGGGGCAGGATTAGTTTTATCTTCACGTGGATGAAACAAAGGGAGAGAGGGCGTGCAGAGTTTAAGGAGCAGGAATAACACTTGATGTGCAGGTACAGCAGATCTCCGTGGCTCATACATTCAAAAGCAAGCATTCAGCTTGCCAGACCGCTCAGATTTAAGCTTTATTTCTCCAAACTTCACTATCTACAACAGGTAAGATGTTTATCGCTTAAAACCATTTCACAGAAGCTCACGTTAAAAGGTCTTTACCAGCCTTTTTAATAAAAGTCGATTGCTTATTAATCCTATGGCATAAGCCAGTGCTATTTTCAACACCCAAACAGCTGCATGGACAATAAAAACCACAAATATTCCCAAAGTGAATATTAAAAACTCGCTTGTCTGTATGGTTAGAACAAAAATAACGATGAGGGCTATTTTGATACCTCTGAGGATTTGCTCTTCTGCCCCATGAGCTTCTAATGAACAAAATGAAATTGAGCTCATTTGAAGCTAAATTGAAGCTCATTTGCCTCGAGGCCTCCCGAGAGTCTCACCCCTGCAGCCGACCAGTTTGGGCATCACTTCTCCATGGTCTGAAGTTAATTACAGCGATTTTCCTCACTCATTTCTCCCTTTGGATGTGCAGATCAGCTTTACTGACATCAATATTTAACAACGGGATCCTGAAACATTTGAATATAAAGTTTGACAATTATCAAAAAGCATCTGTTGTATTGTATTTACCCATTCATTTGCAGACAAGCTGGAAATCTTTGTTTCTGTGTGGTGGATAAAAAATACAAACAAGGCACTGAGAAGGGCAAGTATTCCTCAAAGAAAATGCACATCACCCGCTGCCTTTCGTGCCAACGCTTGAAGAATGTGTTGAGGATGAATCTCAGCTAATATTAGCTCAACATCTGTACATTTATATGAGTTATAGTCATTTTTGTGTTCACTAAGTTTGAGTAGCTGTGGCAGCCATCTTGAATTTGGTTGTCTCCAAAAATTAATCGTTTGTATATATGCACCCAGTGCTTAAGTTCTTAGAGTTTCACAAAAATTCAAAAAGTGGTTCATGATATATTTTGCCAACAGACAAACAACATTGACACCAATAAATAATGCCAAAAAATGTAGGCAAAAATGTCGCCCAATCATAATTGCTTGAAGTATGCGTTGTAAATCATTTTCAGCTGCTGCCACACCAAATGTTTAGCTCAGTTTCTGTCAAACTGGCTAAACTGTAGCCATTTTATGTTATCTAATTTTAGCTTGCTATGGCAGCCACCTATAATCTGATCCACTCCCAAAGTTAAAGAGTTTTATCTGTGCATCCATTGATTCCTTTCTGAGAGTTTCTTTAAAATCGGTCCAGTGGTTTAGAAGATTTTTTGCTAACAGACACAGTTGACGCCGATAGTTGATGGCAATTTTTTTAAGAGATCTTGCATTATCAGTGCATGCTAATGTGTTTGGGAGTACCCTCAGCTACTACCTCACTTGATTTAACCCTGGTAGCTGACCAGTTGATGGAGTTACAGCCATTTATCTCTTTGCAAATGGTGCTCAGGTGTGGCAGCCATCTTGAATTGGATTGACTCTAAAAGGTAATCACCTGTAAATATGCATCTGGAGATTATTTCCTGACAGTTTCATTAAAATCTATTCACTGGGCTGTGAGATATTTTGCTAACACAATGCACATAGATGATATTATCGCCTCTCAGGCAATAATGTAAAAAAAAATAAAAAATCAATTCAGGGATGGAGTCCCTCCCTCCTTGCCTCTCCTCCTCCTCCTGTCTCATTCCCATTCACTCCGTGCAGGCAGCAGCAGCAGCAGCAGGAGCAGGAGGAGAAGAAGGAGGAGGAACATCCCCGAACCAGCATCATGAGGGTCGCGGCGTGCCTGTGTCTGCTGGTGGGCGTCTCGCTCCAGGTGGACGTGAAAAGTGGGAAAGCTGGGAATTTCATGGAAGACAAGCAGTGGCTGTCAACCATCTCCCAGTACAGCCGGAAGACCAAACACTGGAACCGCTTCAGAGACGTGAGTAGCTCCGTGCGCACTGCCGCCGCCGCTGGCTCTGCGCGCACACCTCACATAAACATCTTAGCTTTAAATCAATGAATAAAAGTGGAATCATAGGATCTGTTGAGACAGAGGTAATGCGGATAAGTGTGCGCCTTTGTTTGCGTGCCTCTGCAAATCATTGACTCGTGGATAAATTATTATCTCTTGGATTGATTACCTTCACTTTACAGTATATATCTGAAAAGTTGGCAGCAAAATGTCAATAAAAACACAGTATGTAGTCATTTGCACGTCTCATAAACCCATATTTTATTCACAGTGGAGCATAGAAATATAAGTTTGTATGGATGGGGAGGGGGGGTTGCAATTTTGAATTTTATGACCGCATCTCATCTCAGGCAACAGCATCATGTTTACCACAATCACCCCCCTCTTCTTGCACCTGCCTGCAAACTTATAGGAACTGAGGAGACCAGCTGCTTGTCTGATGTATTTGTCAGACCCGGCTCTTCTTTGCTGGATCTTTCATTTTATTCAGTTCAATTCAGTTTATTTATAAAGCACCAAGTCACAACAGAAGTCGTCTCAGGGCACTGAGCAGAAACATTCATGTACATAAAAAGCCAATTAATAAAAGTGATTGCGTTGAATCTTCAGTCTCCCACCCTGAGCAAGCACGAAGGCAACAGTGGAAAGGAAAAACTCCCTTTTAACAGCTACATACCCAGCATCTTTTCTTTGTTGCAGGTTCCTCAACAAGAGTTTGGTCTCATTTGACATTCTCTGTTGTACTTTTGACATCATAATTAAAGATTACTGAAAAAAAATAAAGTGATAAAAGTATTTTACATTTAAAATAACATCTTGGGGGGCCAGATAAGATGTCAACGAGGGCCACATTTAGCTCCCGGGCCTTGACTTTGACACGTATGAGATAAGGAAAGACTTGAGCCTAACTTTAAAAGTAGAGAAGGTGTCAGTCACACAGACAGAAACTGGAAGTTGGTTTCACAAGAGAGGAGCGTGAGAACTGAAATGATTTAAATGAAATACAAATGTATGATGAGTCAAATGCTTTTAATTGAGAGAGGTCTGGATTGTGGGCAGGCCAGTTCAGGACTCTTCTACTCAAAGCTATACTACAATGGATGCAGTAGCAGGTTAGCATACTGAAACATGTAAGGCCTTCCCTGAAACAAGACCATGTCTGGATGGAAGCATGTTGCGCTAAAATTCTATATTCTGCTCTGCATTGATGGTACCATACGCTGCACATGCCTATAGGCACTACAGTAATGCACCCCTATAACATCAGATAAGCAGGCTTTTGAACTGAAAACTGAAAATGGTTCAGGTCCTGGTTTGGAGGTTTCTAAAACCAATGATCAATTTTGGTTCTTCTTACCACAGAGATGTTTTACACTTGGCCTCAATCGGTTTCAACTGAGCTTTGACCCAAAGAAAGTCAGCTTTTCTGTATATGGCTTATTTTTATGCATGATATGGCTTCAGTCAATATTTATGGGTGACTCGGTGAACTGTGTTTACAGACAATGATTTGTGGAAGTGATTCTGAGCCCATGCAGCAATGTCCAGAACAGAACCAGACCTGGTTTTCAGAAGATCAATACTGGCCCTTGTCTTTCGAGCTCAGAGCTTTCTCCAGATGATGGGACATTGAAGTTCCATCTGTCCATTAAGGAACGATATTTTTAAATTGCTTCACTAATTTTAGCTGCGGTTTTTCACAGACTGGTGAACCTCTGCCCATTTTTACTTCTGAGATTCAGCATTGCTCTTTTATCCACAGTCCTCTTACTGACCTGTTGGTAATTAACCTCATTAGCTGTGAAATGCTCCTCCAGCTGATTCTTCTTATAGCCTTTTGTTGCCCCTGTCCCAACCTTTTTGAGATTTTTCTGCCATCAAATTCAAATTTTATAGTTGTAGGGGTTCAGCTTGGATGTGAGATCTGATTTGAAGTTGTCACTTGTGTCTAATTTTTAATGAGCTCATGCGAGGAGCTGTTTCAGCAGGATACAACCCCCCCCCCCCCCCCAAATGTCCCTTGGGAGAAATTAAAGCCCTCAGCTCAGAGTTTTTTCAGGGTATGAAAGCTCATTAGGATGATCTGATGTAAGGAGACCTTGTGTGATAAAAGGCTAACTACTAAATTCAGGATGCTGGAGACCTTTAGGAGTCTCAGATCCAGTTGTCTGATCTCGTTCCTGGGAAATCTCAGCCCAGACAGAAAGTCTTATCAGTGTCGGCCAGAGAGGAGCCTTTTACCATCTTTGGTGTGCAGGTGATATTTCAAACTGGACCCCGAGAGGATTTGTAATTGAATCGCAAATATGTGCCTTCAAAATTTACATATCCTCCTCCTCCTCGGTGTTTAGAGCGGCGGGCTTCACCCGTTTTCCCTTTGGCAGCGTCACCTCTAAATCATTCTGAGCAGACTTGCTTCTCGTTTTTTTTAAAGTTGGTTTGGAAATTCATACTCAGTCTATTTGAGTTTAAATTTTCATCGCAACAAAATGCATATTAAAAAACTTTGACTCAAAGTCTTTTGACTCCGGCAACTGAATTTATTTATTTAGTTTCCTCATGAAATGTAAGAACGTACAGTAGATGTATTTTCTTTAAAAAATTAAAAGTTTGACCCTCTGAAATATAAATAAGCTTGACTAGCCCCTGGTGCTAAGTGATAGTCTTGGCTGCCATTTTGCTAGGTGCTACAGCTATCAAAACCACACATTATCAACATCTTGTGTGTGCTGCTAGTCCAAAAATTGATAAAAACAGCCCTAATTTACTTTATTAAAATATACCACGCATGTAATAAAAACAGTAAAACAGTTAAAGTATTCTGTAAATGCTTTCCAGCAAGCTCAGTCAAGCTTTAACAATGGCAATATCCAACTCATCAAGCTAATACTACTTTGATTAAATTTCTGAGTGCTCTAGTTATTCTAGCCAAACCTGTATGTAGCTACATTTTAAGTAATTAAGTACTTTACCATCTACTTGGTCCAACCAAACCTCTGTTGCTAGTGTCTATAACTTATTGCATTCCAAATAATATCTTCAGCATATAACATTTACTTTTTTCCTCCTAATTCTGAAAATATTTAGACCATATACCATGCACTTCAGCATTTTGACAAGGATATTCGAGTTTTTGTCTCAACTACACTAACTCAATATCTTCATCAACTTTACAAAAGAAAAAAAAAAGGAAACCTGGTTTGTAGACTAATGGATATTATTAAAGAAAATGTTTCACTGAAATTGATTATATATTTTCATTTAGCTGGTATACCTACCCAAAAATACCCGGTTTAAAATTTTTCATATCAGTCTAGTGTAGAGAAAGTGATAACCCAGGTTTAATAACCATGTATTATTCTCAAAGAACATAATACCACCTTTTTTGGAGTTTAGGTCTGAATAATTATAACAAAATATATATTTTTTTCAGATATCCATGGTCTACTTCCATGTTGACAGTAACTAACACATAGCACTTAACAAGATGGCGACACATTTTATTGCCTTGGCTTGTTAGCATAAACTGCACTGTTTTTGGCCATTCCAGTGTACTTAATGGTTTGTCCAATCACCTGCTGTGTACTTTAGGTATTTTTTTCTCATGTCTTAAATCTTTATTACTTTTTATTTGGTAATTTCAAAACAAAAACAAAAATTCCACCTCCAACATTCAAAGTGGGAAACCTTCATCACATTTACAACCATAGACAAGAAGACCAGAACAAGTTTTGTCAGGAAATTTCCTAAATTTGACACATTTTGTCTTTATTTTGTGAGTGGTTAATCTTTAGTGCTTGAGAAATAACAACAAACCCATAGCATGTTGCTGCCACGACCATGCTTTACTATGGGGAAGCTTTTGTGGAGTAATGTGTTTTTGCTATATTACTCCAACTGCTTTTTATGGTCAGAACATTCAGTTTAATCATCTAACATGTTTAACGGAGTCTCCAATACCTTTTTGTTGAAATACAAGCCTGATAATCAGTTTTCTTCTGTTAGAAATAAAGGCGTGCCCAAAACAAAATTGAAAAATCTAAGCTTTGTAGATGATTTAGTCTGCCGTGGAGCTTTTCACTTCCTTCAAACTCCCCTTTGGCCTCTCAGTTATTGCTCCTATTGATTCCTTCATGCCTCGTGACTTTTAGTGGGCTTTCTTTTCTTTCTTGGTTTGTTTTAGTGTCAAATTAGTTTTGTTTCAGAAAGCATTTTGAGTATTTGATACTGCTTTTATAACCGAACCCTAATCTATACTCCTCCAGGAGTTTGTTTTTGTCTGTTTTGGATCATTCCTTTGTCTTTGCTGCCATACGTTTTGCTCACTGGTGTATATTCTTGCAAATTATTCACTACAGTTATGTGACACTTTTCCATTAAATTGTCTGGTACGATGTGGTAAAACAGTATTTATTTATTTCCAGGTTTCCATTACTTCTGTTACTTTAACACTTCCAATAATCCAAACAGTCTCGGATGTTATAGCGTTGTGAAACACTGCAAACTAAAAGTTATTATGCAGGAATTACAACTTGTAGGAAATGACATCATCTAAACATCAGCGCACACAGACACATTAACATGCTTTCTTTTCTTTTAAAGCTACCGTTTACATCATAAATCATGTTTATCTCATTTGAGTCATATTGGGTGTCTATTAACTGCAAATAAAACTTTTCAAATCAATCTTTTTTTTATCCTCTGGTGATAGTGGCAAACTTGTTCAGTGCAGTAACCAATTTATATTTTCTATAACCTCGTAACACTGAATGGACGTGTCTGCTAAAATAAATCAGTGAAATGAAACAAACACACAGGGAAGTTGTTTGTCTCATCCTCAGCAGTTTGACACAGGCTAGCAAAGATGGACAGCTAAACCTGAACAACTCAATTCATCTCAATTCAATCCAGTTTATTTATATAGCGCCAAGTCACAACAGACGTCATCTCAGGGCACTGAACAGAAA